CAAATTTTTTCTCCACTGAATTATCTCATTTACTGCTTCCTTTTATTTGTCTTTTTAAAGTTTTTACTTTTTGCTTATGACAAAAAAGGGGGAGAAAATATAGATCTGAACTGTTTAATATAACTTCACCAGAATGAAACTTTAGACATATCTACTCTATCTAACATTTAATCTGAGTATTTCAGAACATTTGATAAGTACACTCTATAAAAGAAACTCTGAGTCTCTCAGATCATTTGACTATTATCAAACTCTGAATATGATATTTGCAAGACATTCTGACCTTCAAATGTTAAAAGAACAATCAAGATCTAACTCTGAAAATTACTCAAGACAAAAGGGAAGTTTCTATTCCTTATCTGTATTTAACTCAGGGGGAGATTCATCATATCAGGGGGAGTTATAATTTTTAATATTCTCAATTAAACAAAATTTCTGATGTTTTTGTCATCATCAAAAGGGGGAGATTGTTAGAACACAGATTGGTTCTTAATAATATCTCTATGTTTTGATGATAACTATTATGAAATTTTGTATTTAGGAATTATATACTCTAAAATTTGCTTGAGAGTTTTTACTGCAGATAGTAAAGAAATTAACACTCCAGAAGCAAATCAGAATTGAACACAAGAAATTAGCTAGACTCTGAAGCGCCAGATGCACTCATTAGAAGATTCTGATTGCTGCCTCCAGAAGATTCTGAGTGTAGCCTCCAGAAGATTCTGAAGCAGAAGCTCTAGAAGGATCTGAAGCAGAAGCTCCAGAAGAATCTGAAGCAGAAACTCCAGAAGAATATGAAGCAAGTCAGAAGCATCTGAAGCAAAGAAGAATTTTGTATGAAGAGTTTTTCAAAGCATAGTTTCTACAGAAGACTCTGAAAGTACTAAAGCTGCAAGTACTGAAGTTCTGTCTCAAATATGCTCTGATATTAAACACGCTGAAAGCACACCTGCTGCAGAAGACTCTGACTCAGCAAGACTCTGATCATCATTAGAAGACTCTGACCCAATTAGACTCTAATGAATTTGCTGAAAACTGAAGAAGAAATATTCAAAGATTATATCCGTTGGAGTAAATCAAACGTCTCTTTCCTTATTTATGCTAGACACAAGAACACAGACAAAAAGGATTTTTCTGTGCTTTCTTCTTCTAGGAAAGGTCACTTGATGTGAAGACAAAAAGGCTCAGACCTTTTGGACACTCTTCTCAACGTGAAGCTCACCTTGGATCAGCTGCCTATAAAAGCAAGACTCCACCAAATTCTTCAGTTGACGTTTGCATTGAAAAGAAATCAAATATTCAAGCTCTCATACTTTCATATTCATTCTAAGAATTTATTTCATTGTACTTAAACTTAAGAGAAATATCACAGTTGTGATAATAGCTTTTTAGAAGCATTCTTACTCTTGTAATAGTTTTACATTGATTGTAAAAGATTTCCTTAAGAGGATTCAGTTGGGATCAGTAGCTCTTGAGAAGACTAAGAACAGTTGTTCTTAGGTGTTACTATTGTAATCTGTTTGATTAAATAGTGGATTAAGTCCTTGATTGAGAAAGGCAAATCACTCTAGGAAGGGTGGACTGGAGTAGTTGAGTTCAACGAACCAGGATAAAAATACTTGAGTTTTTATTCTAAGTTTTAATCTTTCATACTTATTCAACCCCCCCCTTCTAAGTATTATCTCACCTTCACTTTAGACCTTAATTTTAGACATGAGTGGCTCATGACTTGATTCGTTGATTTCAACTACGCTGCCAAATCTTGTTGCAAAACCCGTTTTTCTCTGATAATCCCTATGTATGTCCAAGGGAAGAATCTGTATATGAACTCATAATTTGTATACAATACATTTCATTTGCATCATATTCCCCCGCTTGATCCTTGACTTTTCAATTTGACCAGCTTAGGATTCAATCCTTACATCTTAAGATATGAGAGACTTCCTTGGTATATCTTTTAACTTAGACGAACCTATAATACAATCAATTCAACTATCATATTCTCCCTACAAGAGAATTAGACATGATTCATCTTATTAATCGAGAAATAATTCTCCTACCCCATAATACAATCGAGAGATGTATAATCTTTTTCGCTTGGGAGAGGTATGTGGCATACTCATCGATAAATCTGAGGTTTGAACCCTTCTTTCAATGTGATGCAAAGACCACCTCCTACAAGTTGTGGCAGTTTTAGTCGAGTATTCTCTCTTAAGATGACGACTCGTCTCTTCTCCTAGAATCAATCAACAAACCTTCTCCCCCTGGAACCTTGACCATCATCAATAAGTTCCTCAGACCCTTTTAGGAGAACTACGAATATTCTGATTCCACTCTCGTCAGGATACGTAGGCATAAGATGCGACTTCTTGGTGAGTATACTTAGAAATAAACTCCTAGGTCTTTTATCCTTAACAAACAATAACACAAAAAAATAAGAGGTTCCTGTAGAGTACTAAAGATGCTTAGGATGCTAGCACCTTCCCAAAGTTTAACCAATCCTCGAACTTTAGATTCTCTAGCTTTGCATCTGCACTGCATCTTTTGGGTTATTTCGATCTTTTTCCCTTCCCTTGGACAAATTAAAGACCGGTGGTGAATAATGAATTAAGATTCAAGTTAATCAATAGCTTGATATTCAATTCTCACTGCGACATGTAATAACCATTTTTGTATCGATTGTACAAACATTGAATTGTAAACTTCGATTTGATCTCAAAAAATAATTCAGTTTGACCAGTTGGAAATAGACATGATTTAGAGATCACATTATATGAATTTTCCATGTCACTCATCCACATCGATCTATGTCATCAAGTACATTGATGTGGTGGTTGTCGGGGTTCTTCCACGTTATACGTCAATGACAACAACATTGGTGGTCCCATTATTGATGTATCAGGTCGACCATATTGTAAAGTTGAAATCTAAAGAAAAATAGCATTTAGATGTGCGCCTAAAGAATTGTGATATAATTATTAAAAATAGATTGCCTAAGTGGGTGATTGTTGGAATATTTCATAATGTAAATAATATTTAATTATTATATTCCAATAATTATTATGTCGGTGTATATATTTTAATTTTATTTTTTATTTTTCAAATTAAGAGTTTTAATTAACTAAGTGATAAAATAAATTTAAAAGATTATTTAGATTTCTATTTAGTAATTAATTAATTAATTAATTGAATATGTCTCAAATACTAGTATGTTAGAATGACCCATTTTAGAATAATGAGAATCCTAATTGGCCATCACCTTATATATAGGTCATGGTTCCCAATATACCGTACACAGACAATTTATCTCTTCTTTCCATTTGATTAGTATTCAAGGCATTATGAGTTCTAGTTGAGAAAGAACCATGCAATCTACCAGGTGTTCGTTGTTTTTTTTCTTGCTTTCAGGATTATCACCAACAATTTTTTTTCAATATATTCAGATATTTTTGCAATCTCTTCTCTCATATACTAACATGTCGTAGATCCTGTAACTATATACATATTCATATTATTTATTGTATTTTACGCTGAAGTATATAACTAATATATAGAACATGTATATGTAATTAATGGTTATTAATTTAATTTCAACATTTTTGTGTTTAGATTATTGTATGAATCTAGGGTCTAGTTTTGTGTAAGTAGGTTATAGTCAAACTTCTTTTGTTGGAGTGATCCTTGTTGTATTGTTTGGTTTGACATCTCTTGTATTTAAATTTCAATTGTTTATAAAATAAAATTATAAATTTATCATTTTACATATATTTTTCATATCAAATTGTATTGAGAAAATTTTAAACTTTCCGTTGATTATACATAAAGATATTAAGAAAAACTAATATTTTACAATAATTACAAATAAAGTTTGAGAAGACAACATCACATCAAGTGGTCCATAGATGACCCATAAAATATCATCTTCCACCCCAAACGAAACGAAACAATTATGGAGTTCGGAAAAAAAAAAACTTTAAAGACAAAGCTTTGAATTATTCAAAATAAATTTTATTATATTATAAAGTTGAAATCTAAAAATAAATAATATTTGGATATGCGTCTAAAGAATTGTGATAAAATTATTAAAAATATATTGATTAAGTGATGTAATTTAAATAGGTTCAAGTAAGCCTTTTTTTTTTTTGAGTGATCCTTTTTGTATTGTTTAGTTGAACTTCTATTGTATTTAAATTTCAATTGTTTATAAAATAAAATTATAAATTTATCGTTTTACATATATTTTTCATATCAAATTATATTGAGAAAATTTTAAGACAACATGACCCATAAAATACCATCTTCCACCCCAAACGAAACAATTGTGGAAAAAACTTTAAAGAAAAAGCTTTGAATCATTCAAAGTAAATCTTATCATTTAATTATAACTTTTTTTGTTGTCTCTTTATAAAGTCTTCCAACAATGAAGTCTTCATCTTTGATTTTAGGCTCTGGAGTATACAGAGGGCAAGAAATAACACCTTTTTCAGAAATGAAATTTTTGACGTCGATGATATTGTTACGGATATTAAAGTTATCTCGTGAAATTGGTTGATTTTAGGTAGACATGATAGTAATCATTGTAGCTTGTATAAATGATTTAAATTCCTGTTTAATTTTATGTAATAATCCTATTTTAGACGGTAATTGTTCTCTTGACTGTTCTGAAATTTTCTTAATATCCATTAATATATCTTTGCTTATAAAAAAAAGTCTTCATTTTTGAGAATTTTTTGTATTCTAATTAATTATCTTATTATAATAAATGCATTAAAAATAAATAATTCGAACCATGCAAGTTTGTTCCGGGAGTTAGAATTGGATTTTCCGAGTAAGTTGTAACCACTTAATTGATAAATTTGTAAACACTTTCGTAAATAGTGAGACTCACTATCTTTCAAACCTCATCTTCAACGAAATTTCTCTTAATATACTTTTTCATCCTTCAAAAACATATATAAAACTATCATTTGTCACATAACTAAGAGCAAGTAAAAATAACAATGAGAACTATTTTACTTTCATTCCTTATTTCCTACTACTTCATATATCTCACTCTTGTTGTCTCTGCCAAATGTCTTCAACATCAACAATCTCTGTTGCTTCAGTTAAAAAACAATCTCACATTTCCTCCTCAATTTTCCACCAAACTTAAATTGTGGAATGAAAACACTCCTTGCTGTAATTGGAGTGGCGTAACTTGTGACCATGAGGGACATGTCATTGGCCTTGATCTATGTGGAGAAGAAATCTATGGTGGAATTGACAATTCAAGTAGTCTTTTCACTCTCCAACATCTTCAGAAATTGAATTTGGCTCACAACGATTTCGATTCTTCCATTCCATCCGGATTCGGCAAGTTGGTGATGTTGAAATATCTGAATTTGTCATATTCTTACAATGTGGGAAATATTCCTATGGAGATTTCAAAGCTTACAAGGTTAGTTACTCTTGACCTCTCTTCTGATGATAGTTTTTCACAAGAGCAAAGACGGACAATTTATAACCGAAATCTACAAACATTTCTCCAAAATCTAACCAGTCTAAGGCAACTGTATCTAAATAATATAAATATATCAGGTATGGGAAAGGAATGGGGAAATGCTTTGTTGCCGTTGCATGACCTACGAGAGTTGAGTATGTCTTACTGTGACCTATCAGGACCCCTTGATTCTTCCCTCACAAAACTAGTGAACCTATCCATCCTTATTCTTAAAGGAAACAATTTTTCATCCTCGGTTCCTGAAACATTTGCCAATTTGAAAAATCTAACCATCCTGAGTCTTTCTGATTGTGGATTGACCGATAAATTTCCACAAAAGATCTTTCGAATTGAAACGCTTTCAGATATTGATTTGTCATTCAACTACGATCTCCATGGGCTGTTTCCAGACTACTCGATGAAGAAATCTCTTCATAGCATTATTTTGACAAACACACAATTCTCTGGAACAATTCCACACACTATTAGCAACATGAGACTCTTATCTCATTTGGATCTTTCTTATTGTCATTTTAATGGAACACTTCCCAATTCATTGTCAAACCTCACACACCTTATCTACCTTGACCTTTCTTATAATTATTTAAGTGATCAAATTCCATATTCATTGTCAAACCTCACACAACTTACCTTCCTCGACCTTTCAAATAATAATTTAAGTGGTCAAATTCCATATTCATTGTCAAACCTCACACAACTTACCTTCCTCTACCTTTCTGATAATAATTTAAGTGGTCAAATTCCATATTCACTGTCAAACCTCACACACCTTACCGGCCTCGACCTTTCTTATAATAATCTAAGCGGTCGAATTCCTTCATTCCTTTTTACACTCCCAGCAATGAAGGAGATTATGCTATCTTCCAACAAATTTATTCAATTTGACAAATTCATAAATGTGTCATCCTCTGTGTTGGAAGTCCTTTATGCTCATAGCAACAATCTTGTGGGGCCTTTTCCAACACCTATCTTTAAAATTCATTCTCTGTCTTTCCTTGATCTTTCATTTAACATGTTTAATGGGTCACTGCAGCTAGATAAAATTTTGAAGCTTAGAAATTTAACTGATCTAAACCTTTCTCACAATAACATATCAATCGATGTGAATGTCTCAAATGTTGATTTTTCTTCAATTCCCAAATTTAAATATCTAAGTCTGGCAACTTGCAACCTGAAATTTTTTCCCAATTTCTTGATAAATCAATCAACATTGACCAATCTAGACCTTTCAAATAACCAAATTGAAGGAGAAATACCAAACTGGATTTGGAATCTACAAGATCTTCAATTATTTAACCTTTCTCACAATTTTCTCTCTAATTTGGAAGGACCATTTCAAAATCTTACTTCCAAACTGGAAACTCTAGACCTTCATAACAACAAACTCCAGGGATCAATACCTGCTTTTCCCCATTGTGCTTATACTTTGGACTACTCTAACAATAATTTTTCTATTATTCCACAAGATATCGGTAATTACCTATTATGCACAAATTTTCTCTCTTTTTCCAAAAATAATTTACAAGGAAGTATCCCTGTTTCCTTATGCAATGCTTCACAACTTCAAGTGCTTGATATTTCCTTCAACAACTTTTCTGGAACAATTCCTCCATGTTTAATCACAATGACCAACACCCTTGAAGTATTAAACATAAAAGCGAACAATCTCAGTGGCCCCATAACAGATGTGTTTCCAAATTATTGTGCTGTAACACGGTTGAACTTCCATGGAAATCAATTACAAGGGCCAATTCCTATGTCTTTATCCCACTGCTCATCATTGGAGTTATTGGACATTGGATCAAATCAAATTGTTGATCATTTTCCATGCTTCTTAAATAACATACCAGCACTTAGTGTCTTGGTTTTGAGGAATAATCGTTTTCATGGTTCTATGGAATGTTCAGAAAATAAACCTTGGAAATCGATTCAAATTGTGGACATTGCTTTCAACAACTTCAATGGAAAATTACTCAAAAAGTATTTTACAACTTGGGAAAGAATGATGTATGATGAAGATGTTGCACGTGAAATCGGATACATGACGTTACCAAACTACCAATATTATCATGATAGTTTGACAGTTACATGGAAAGGCCAACAACAGGATTTGGTTAAAATTTTAACAATTTTCAAAGCCATTGATTTCTCATCCAATTTTTTTGAAGGTCCAATACCTGAGTCGTTGATGGACTTGAAAGCACTTTATATTTTGAATTTTTCAAACAATGGTCTCACAGGTGAGATCCCATCTGCGATAGGGAACATGAAACAGTTAGAGTCCTTGGACTTTTCAAATAACTCCTTGGTTGGTGAAATCCCAGTGCAACTAGCAAGTTTATCATTTCTTTCTTATTTGAACCTTTCTTTCAATCATTTGATGGGGAAGATCCCAACAGGTACTCAACTTCAAACATTTTCAGCTTCTTCCTTTGAAGGAAATCATGGACTATATGGTCCTCCATTGAATGAAACACCAGAAGATAAAATGAAGGACTTGCATCCACAAGCAGCATGTGAAAAACTAGTTTGTTCAATAGACTGGAACTTTTTAAGTGTTGAATTGGGATTTGTTTTTGGACTTGGAATTATCATATGTCCTATCATGTTTTGGAAGAAATGGAGAGTACGTTATTGGAAATCCGCGGACAAAATTCTCTGCAGGATTTTTCCATGGATGCATCTTGAATATGCAACTGACAGAGGAAAAACATACACTGTTTTAAGGTGGTAGTTGCATTAGAATATAATGTGTGTGCTAATTAGTATAATAGTATTTTATATTTTTGCATGTATTGTTGTTTATTTACAATTCTACGTGATAATATATAACACGCTTTTAATATTCCCGTAATGTGTGGAAGACTAGTTTCCGACCAACTTTCTGTTTTGTGTACAATTCACATTTGATGATCTACAAAAAGTACTCGTTTTTACTGTTAGCATTTCCATGCAACTCTAACAAAGGGATTTATGTTTTTTCAGCTAAAGTAAATGAAGACTTAATTGAGATGCACATTGTATTCCAAATGCAAAAGATAGAAATTATGCAGCTTAAATTCATACATGCTAAATATTAAAATTGTTTGAAAAATAATTGAATGGAAGTTTTCTTGTTAGATAATCAGTTGTTGCCACGAGGGAATTATTCCATGGCTGAGGGTATCAGAGAGGATACTTCCATGAAAAGATTTTTTTGAAAGAGAGAGAAATATTGAAAAAGACATATAGTTACCTGTACACCTGAAAAGATTTTTTTGAAAGAGAGAAATATTGAAAGAGAGAGGATACTTCCATTTGAATGTAGAAGGCACTTATGAAACTGGATACTAGGGGCATTACCTGTACACCAAGTGATTTGGTTGTACATGCTTTCGATGGTACTCGGAGGTCTGTTTTCGGTGAGCTGACTTTGCCTATCTAAGTGGGTCCAGAAGTTTTCGACGTTGTATTTTATATCATGGACATTCAACCCGCTTATAGTTGTTTGTTAGGCAGACCATGGATCCACTCAGCTGGGGCTGTCACATCGACTCTACATCAGAAGCTGAAATACATGGTCGGTGGCAGTGTGGTAACAATATGTGGAGAAGAGGACATTATGGTTAGTCACCTGTCTTCTTTCAAGTATGTTGAAGTAGATGGAGAAATTCATGAGACCCTGTGTCAGGCATTTGAAACCGTTCAGTTGAAGGATAAGGCGCTAGTGTCGCTACTGCGAAAATCGGCGCCGGCTGAACAGAAGAGTCGCCACCGTGCGTTATTTATCCCACGGGAGGGAAAGGAAACGCTCAGAGTAAACCTCGCACAACACGGGAAAGGGATGGTCGTCGCAACCAAAACCTGGATTCGGGAGTCGGTTACGCAAGGGGAAGGTATTAGCACCCCTCACGTCCGTCGTACTCGACGGGATCCACGCTTGTTTTCGGGTATGGATTGTTATTCTATCTAAACTATGGGTCAAGGGTTAAAAGAAAAGAAAGTGAAAATAAAAAATGACTCGGCAAAGTATCGCACTTTATGCCTACGTATTCCCGTCTGCAACGAGAAATCAGAGTCAACGTAGTTCGCCTACCTACGGGAAAGGAGGGGAAGGTTGCTCGCTAGGATATCGCGTCCTATGCCTACGTACTTCCACACAGCATGGAAGATCAGAGCAAACGTAGTTCGGGCCACGGAAGACACAGGCTTGTCTTAATTGTTTTTATTCCTTCTGAAAAAGGTTTTCTTGATTAGCAGTCCCGGCGGACAAAAATGACGTCTTGATGAGTTCATATTCTTTTACGGAAGAAGTGTCTTTTATTGTGTTTGAAATCCTTATGTGTTTTTCTGTTTGTTTTGAGAGAGAAGAGACAGAACTCTAACCTACGGTTGCGAAGGGAATCAAACTAACCTAATGTTATCATGCATGGGTTAAGACCTAGTGTCTATCATGCTCCTCTCTTGCACAGAGAGAAACAGAGATCCTACGGGATAGGCAGAAACAGAAACAATAACAGATATAATAAAGCAGTAAAAATGCATGGATGCAACAGTACAAGCGAGGCAAGGGAGTCCCACTCAACCTCGAACCTAGAAAACAATAGGCAAAAGTGAACAGACTTCACTTTCAACCCAGCAGGGTAAACAACAAACAATACAGTCCAGAAAACCAATCAATACATCAGCAATGAAATACAACAGCAAAAGAAACAGCATCAGCAGCTCTGAATCAACATCTGGCTTCAAGTAATCTCCAGTCATTCACAGGCTTCAACAAGCATCAATCTCCATCTTCATGATCTTCAGGCAAGGGCTTTGATCATCTGCCTTCTATCTGCAATGGCTTTTCTTCAAGTTCAAACCTCCAGGATGAGGGATCAGTCACAAGAGTGAAGTGAATGAATGTTAGACAGTTAATTACCTACCAAGGGTGGTTCATCAACTGTTAACATTAAACAGAAAGTTTCCTCTCAAAAGTTCTATCTTTCAAATATATTCACTGATCCTTCCAAAGGAAGGAGGTGGATATTTGAAAGAGACTTTGAATCATAGAGAAAGGATGGATGCAGACAAGGCATTCCATGTTTGAGAAACAAGCTTTCTAATCTAGAGCTCTGCCTAGCTCCTAAACCCTAGTCTCCTCAGCAGCTGCTAGCAAGAACCTCCTCTCCAACTCTGGCAGTTGACCTTTCATCTCTGAATCTCCAATGGTCTTCATCTCCTCAAGTCTTCAGCTCTCCCAAGTTCCCAGACAATCCCAATACCCAAGCAAGCAAGCAATAATCCCCAGAGGGCACACCACACCAGACAATTAGATATATACAGAGTATTAATAGCAGTAGGGGGGTCCTGACTTTTTCTAAGGGATCTAATAACTACCCATAGCCCCTATAGTCCCATAACTAATCTAGTTAAATCCTAAGTCCTAAGGGAAATGAATTGATTCTCCTAAGTCATCACCTAAAAACCCTAATTTGTTCATGTTGTTCACACATACACTAAACACCTAAAATTAATTCCTAAAAATGGGAACTAAATTGAATCTACAAGTTTAATGTCTCATCTAAACAACCTAAAAAGAATGAACAAAAAATATGAAAGTATCTAATAGAACAAAAATTAATAAAATCATGCATGAAATGAAACTATTTAACATGTCATTTATTTAGAAAATATGGGAAAAATATCAAATAAAAATAAAATGCAATTATTATTTTTTTATAATTTTCTAGACATCTTAATGAAAATGATGTAAAAAGAATGAATTAAAAATGATTTTTTATCTATTTATTATGAATTTTTTAAAATGAATGAAAAACATGAAAAAAGAAATAATAAAAAGAAAGAGAGAAATAGCCAGGGGGTGAGAATAGCAGGTTATTCACGTTCAAATTGAACTGGGCCCAATACTGGGGGGTGGCAAGAGCAAGGCCCACGCTCCCCCCCTTTAATGAAACGCAACGTTTCAATGGGGGGAGGATTCCCTCTCAAACTCAGAATTAAACTAGAGCCACACGATGGGCTCTGAGGTCAAAAGTCCAACACGCAATGGACGCTCCTGATTACGTCTTCTTCCTCCTTGTGAGAACTTAGGGTTTCAACTTCCATGGAAGCCATGCACGAACCAACTTCCATCAATCTGTTCTCTCTCCACAGTCCATGGATCAACACGATATAAACATGAAAATCATTCAGAATTTCTCCCTCTACAAGCCTATGGTCATAGTTTGATCTGAAATTCAGCAAATCACTCAACCTGAGCGCATGACATCCTTGGCTCCATTAACATACTCTGCAACTCATCCTCAAGATTCTCAACCAAACCTATACTAATCTAATCTATGACTAATGGTGATTATTCTGATCTATCAAACTAAGATTATCATGCACTATGCTATGAATTCTACATCCTAACAGTTCTAACAACCTGCTAACAATCATCACCAAACAGCACCAAACCAATCAGAAATGCTCTACTAACATCCTACATCATATCTAAACTAATAAAACCATGCTAAACTAACTAAATCAAGCTGTGGCAGAGAAAATGCACCTGGTGTGAAAGCTTGGAAATGCTGATGGAACTCGTGGATCTGAGGCTTTTGAGGCTTGGATCTTGATCAACTAACTCAGTGCTCGATTCTGTATGCAACACCTTGATGATTCTTGCCTTGGATCTTGCTGTCCAATGGAAATTGCAATTTGTGTGTTCTTGATGGAAGTGCACGAAAATGATCAATATCCACCAAATCTTTGATTCAATTCTGATCCATGATGATGATTGAATGTAGGAGGATCAATGTTGATGAGAATTGATGAAGATTTTGGGAAATTTGGATGAAATTGCAATGAGAAAGAATGAGAGAACTTTGGGAAATTTTTGGTGAAAAATGAATCCAACCCTTGCTCAATTCTGATTTCATGAATATATAGGGCTCAATGGACACTTCTAGATCCATCTTACAACTTCCCTTGCCTTCCAACTTTGATTGATTTTTGAAATGTTTCTTCAAATGCAAGTAACCATGAGTAACTTTGATTTTTTTCACTAAGCTCAAAAAAGTGCTTGAACCATTGTCTCTAAAATGTCTTTTGGACCCAAAATCATATATTGGAAGTCCCCATTTGGACTTATAAATCTCTCAAACCATTTTTCACTTTGACTTTATTCAAGTTATAAGCCATTTTAGTTCAAATTTAACCAATCATGCAACTTCATGTTATGAGCTTTTCTAACAATTTGTGACCTTCTTTCTAGACTCAAAATGTCATTTGGAGCAAGTTTGATGTTGTAAGTTTTTCCATTTGAGGCCTCCTTGTATGAGTTTTGGACATAGGTTAAAATGACCTGTAATTCACAAATGACCAAAATACCCTTTGCTTGCCAAGACCATAAGTTGAGTTCCACACATCATATGAAGGCATGCCACACCATTCTAGAAAGCTAAGACAATGAGGAACAATTCCTATGTTTACCAGAAATTCATTTGAAATCTCCTTGAGGGGTAAAACTAGCTTGGAAGTCAAGTCACTTTCACAGACAAAATTTCAGATACCTCAGATGACCTGTAACTTGCAAGGACCATAACTTGAGTTCTATAAATCTCCTTGATGTCTTCCACCACTCAAATTGAAGGTCTTGAGATCCTCTACAAGTTTCATGTTGGCCAAGGAGCCATTTGAAGCTAGCATTTTGACTTATCTTGCTTGGAAATTTGACCTAAACTAGGGGATTTTACACAGAAACCCTAA